CCGCCGCCGCCCGGCGCGGGGTTACTCTGCCTCGGCGCGGGATCCTCCCGGACGGAGGCAGTGCCACAGTCCCCAGCGGGACACAGCTGCAGTTAGGGACGGGGAGGGGAGCGAGGGCAAAGCCCTGGCTGGGATACGAGCGAGAGAAGAACGCACAATGAAGTAGTGAAGGAGAGATAATCGGAGTTGAATGGCACTGTTTCCGGTGTGCGCCTGACTTAAGTGTTGTTTTTAGAACAAATTTTTCTAGTGTAGTTGGATACTTCTAAACAGTTGACAAATCTGGGTGTGTGCTGGTGTCTTCTTTCAAAGTTGTGCTTGTTTTCGGTATAATGTGGGAAAAACAACAAGAATTGAGACTTGCTTGTGAAAGAGAAGTTTTACATGAGTGTATTTGAAAGCTGCATATAGCAGAAACAAGCTGAAAAGTCTGACAAGTTTGTATCTTAAATCTTTCACACACATACACCCCCCCTGAGTCCAAGGGCTGCTGTGTGCCTCAGGTCTAGGGAGCATACTTGGAAGAAGATTCTGTTGAGCAGAGCATTCATTGTTTGTGACTTGCCTGTGCAGTGTTACTGAGACAGGGAAAATACCTGTGTTTGTGAGGAAATTCAGGAATTGCTTCTGAATCACCTAGTGTGACTTTGAGCAACTGGGTCTTGCCTGTAGCTTAATAGCAGATTTATGTTCCATCCCTTGTTATAACATGGCATGTCAGTGATATTCATTTGATATCTACAGTCTAGAAAATGCAAAGTTAGAGAATACTTCAAAATGGACATCAGATAATATAATACATTATTATGTAAACTTTCTTCCAAGTGATTCACTCCTGAGGCAGCATGGAGTATGTACTAAGAGTTGCTACAACTTCTCATAGCATATAGGACGATGGGGAAGGGCAGGTACTGAGGATACCTTGTGTAGCAGAAAACTGGTATGATGAGTACTTGCTGGAGTTGGTGACAGGGGACAGTTCCACAGTAGTTGTGTGCCTACTTCTTCTCTGCAAATTTCAGAGAAGCTCAATTATATATAGCATAAAATTAAAATGAATGTTTTTGGTTTCTGTGGTAGTGGTGCAACTTGTTGCTGGATCTTTCCTTACCTGTAAGTTTGGTATGAATGTACTTAGTAGCTTTGGAGTAGTCTGTTTGAGTCAGGGTTGTTTCAGTGACTCCAGCTCAGTAGTAAATGTAGTAGAATTAGTTTGCTTTACTTTTGGAAATCAGAAAGCAGAGGAGCTAACCTGCAGATCTCCTAGTCCTGCTCAGGTCTGCTTTGATTAAGTCCATATGATCCAGAACAGGATCTGGATTTACAGAACTGAGCATGTTATGGAAGCAAGTGATCATGTAACGATGGACTTGCACTGCTGAGGCTGCATTCACTCATGACATGGTTAATCTTTAGCTTTGATGAACAGAGAATTACTGAGAATTGAGGATAACATCAATTTTTTCTTCTCCTTTCAAACAAATCATAGAGGAAGAAACTCTCTCCTTGTCACATATGAAGTCTCTGTTCTGGTTTGATGGCTTTACCTGCATCAAATTTTTCTTCTTGGTGAAATTATGTTTTTCTGCGAGATGCAGTTTCTCAACTCATTTACCTTTGTAGGTGTTTATCATCCCCAGTGATGTTGACATTCTTAGAGGTGCAGCAAAACCTTAAACCACTTTTTTTAGTTGCTGTGCATCATCTGCTACATGTAACTTCTCAACAGAAAGTGCTTGTACAAAGCTTATTATATACTCTCAGGTGGAGAAACTGAGTTACCAAAGATGAAATGATTTGCATGGAGTCACTCAGTGTACAAATTCTAAAGTAAATTGCTGTCACTTGAGTTTAGCCTGATTTTCTCTCCACTAATAGCACTTTAGTAGTCAGTGTCTTCTCTTCTATGTATCTTGAAGCTAATGTTGATTTTTATTTTTTTTTTAAATAAAAAGTTGCCAACCCAGGAGAACCCTCTTTTGTTGAGGGATCACATCAGAGAGTGTTAATGCCAGATAAAAATAGTGCACTGTAGTGTGAAACTCATGTATCTCATGCAAAGAGATAGAGTAATTTAAGGTTGTGTTTCAAGTTGCTTTCAAAACACATGCTGAAACATGCCAAGTATAAACACATTAGCTATTGGTTTATACCTTATATGTGTATATACTTTTGTGCATCATCCTTTTATATAATTTCATCTCTTACCTAAGAAAAAAATGTTTTCATTATTAAAAGTCAGCATTTAAGTGACTTCAGAGTACCAATGAACAACTGAATGGTGAACCAGAGCACTCCAAATGGGCGACTCTCTCAAATTATTAGTTACCTAGCAGTAGTATTATGAGCGAATATTAGATATGGGGTTTAAAATTTGTTTTGAGATCGGTTTTGAGGTGCTTTGGATATACTTTCATTGCATTATTAATACTCACAGGCTTTTTCCCTTTGAGGCCAGGACAGTTAAAGGAAAATTGCAATAATGGAAGTTTGGACTTTTAAAATACCATCCTATGACCAGGATTTTTTAGCTGAGGTGTTTCGATCACACACATACGTAAGCAGAGAAGCTACTGAACTCTTTTCCTGTAGTTTTTTAAATCTTATTTAGGCCGTAGTGACCACATTTGATCTCAATGATGAGTGCATGTCATCCAAATCCTGAAGTGCACCAAAATGCATTTTTATTATGATTATAACTGTCCTTCTGCATTTTGCTGATTCGGAACTGTTTGATATGTATATTCACTTTCCTAAAGCTTTGCTCTAAGTAGAGGCTGTTAACTCTTCCTTGCAGACAGAAGGAAGCATTATCAAAATACCTTTTGCTGAGTTTGGAAGGAAAGGAGGTGAAATTTACTAGGAATTGTTTGTTTACTTTTCTGTCTTATATATATGTATATGTAAATATGTGTGTGTGTGTGTGTGTGTACAAATACAGGGAAAAAACCAGCAGGTAAGTTCTGTAGTCAAAACTAGCTTTCTGCACTTTGTAGCAGAGAGGGGAGAAACTCTGAACTATAGGTTACCATGTTATGTGCCTCCCAAGCTCACAGAGATCTTTTTCTTTAATATGCTTGTGGGAAGTGGGGGAGGAAATACAAGACCCCTGGGTGGTCAGCTGTCTAAAACTGAATTGGGTTATAACTCTGAAGCCAAGTTGTAGAACTGGTTGCAGTTCTGTTGTAGCCTGTGCTGCTGATCTTGTCTCATCTGATCTCTCTTGGATCACTTCCTTTTGCAAACCTGGCAGAAATATAGTAACTTCTCTTTTGACTTGTTAGTGGAATTCCACCCCAACCTGTCAGCACTGGAAAATTCTGACTTGTTCTTTCTCCTTTAACTTTGCCGGAAGATGAACACATCTTCCTTTGCTCTTGTACTATTTTGAGAGAAGGTCCAGAAGGGTCTCTGTTAAATTACCTCAGTTGCTAGAAAATCAAACCAAAATACAAACAAAAACCAACCCCCAAACCCACAGACATTCTTTGGGCAACTTTATCTTAAAGAATGATTTGACATACATGTCTTCTGTAGTCTGGATTAGTGTTAGAAGCAATCAGCTCTTCCAAGACCTCTTTTTCTGTTATGCCAAGACAACTGTTTCTGGGATGCAGTGTGAATCCTTTCAGAGAAGTGAACAGGGTTAAAACCAACGTTTTTGTTAGCCTATCAGTTTACTGCAAGGCTGCACAAATGGCTGTCCTGGCAGTACTGAGAAAGCAGCATCAAGTTGGTAAGCAGCAGCAGCTTCCCCACTGCTCCTTATGTTAACATTGACATTGAAAAAATGTCTATCAAATCATGGCCACAGATCATTTCACAGATCTGTTTTAAAACACTGCACTACAAATGATTGAGTGGATGCAATTAGTGGGCAGTGTTCTCTGGGAGGAGGATAACGTGAATTTTAACTCCTAAATTGAACATGCAACAGCATTTCTCAACCTGAATTCCAGCAAACCTAAAGGTCTCTGTGACTCCCAGTTACACCAACTGCTTGTGCAGAAATAAATGAGAAAGCTGTACCTGCAGACTCCTCTTAACCTCAGTGCTTAGATCATCTTAGCTATAGCAAGATCTTCTAAAATAGTAACAAATACCATGATTTCAGTTTCAAACACCATTTAAAATTATAGATGAGCTTTAAGTTGTGTAAATGGATTATTAAAATACTCTTGCTTTGAGAAACTTGGAAGCTACTTTCAGTGTTATGGATTCTTGAGCAAGATGTGGTATGTGCCAACCTCAGTGCTTAGATCATCTTAGCTATAGCAAGATCTTCTAAAATAGTAACAAATACCATGATTTCAGTTTCAAACACCATTTAAAATTATAGATGAGCTTTAAGTTGTGTAAATGGATTATTAAAATACTCTTGCTTTGAGAAACTTGGAAGCTACTTTCAGTGTTATGGATTCTTGAGCAAGATGTGGTATGTGCCACTGGGTTATATG